GCACTGCAGGAACCTCCAGGACTGTTTGTGCCTGGCTGTGTTGTCCTTCCAGTTGATGTCAGGGTAGTTGAAATCCCCCATGAGAACCAGGGCCTGTGACCATGAGGCAACATCCAGCTGACTATAGAAGGCCTCATCAATTTCCTCATCCTGGTCAGGTGGCCTGTAGCAGACACCCACCACAGTGTCTTCCACATTAGCCTGTCCTTTAACCCTTACCCACAAGCTCTCAACTCACTCATCATCCAGTCCCAGACTGAGCTCCCTGCATTCCAGTTGCTCTCTCACATAAAGAGCTACTCCACCACCTCGCCTTCCCAGCCCGTCCTTTCTAAAGAGCATATAGCCTTCCATGACAGCGCTCTGGTCATGTAAGCTATCGCACCATGTCTCTGTGATTCCAATGAGATCATGGCGCTAGGACCACACACAGAGCTCCAGTTCATCCTGCTTCGCGCATTGGTGTACAGGCATTTCAGGGAAGTAATCGAGCCTGTAAGTTCCCCAGGAGGGGTGAAAGAGGACCCTCTATAATCACATCCTATCCTCACTTCCCCACTACCATACTCCCGCTCAATGCCATCTGACTTCGGCTGCGTGGTACTGATTGCCCTATCTGTGTGACTCTCCCCTTCTCCCTTCTCGTCTAGTTTAAAGCCCTCCTAACCAGGTTGGCCAGCCTTTTGGCAGAGACGTGTGCCCCTCTTGCTGAGATGCTTCCCATCATTCCCCGCTAGCTGGTGGTCATCAAACAGAATCCCATGGTCAAAGAAGCCAAAACCCTGTTGCCAAACCCAGTGGTGCCGCCAGTTGTTAATCTGCCATATCCGCCTTCTCCTCCTTGAATCCATTCTCCTTGTTGGTAGGACAAAGGAACACACTACCTGGGCTCCCACACCTTTGACGGCCATCCCTAGGGCTCTGAAATCTCGCTTGATATCCCTCAGTTTCCCCATGGCATCATTAGTGCCCATGTGAAACAGTACTGGGGATAATAGTCAGACTCCTGGACAAGCCTTGGGAGCCTCTCCGTAACATCCCTTATATAGAACAATTTAGATAAACAGATAAAATAGATAATTTAATCAGTATAGCTGTACCCCTTGAAATATATTCCCTTTGTTTTTTGGATGTAACAACTTAAAAAAATCTTGAAATAAATATTTGGTCATTGATTACAATATTTTATTGGTATATTAAACTACCTGGTTCTAGGGAAATTGAATCGAGCAAGGGTTGCAGGCTAAAATTATTCATTATGCCGTATGTCTGAAAATCACTATGCCAATAAAGGTCACAAAATATATATGAAGTGAAAATTGCATTGAACTAAATCAGTTTAGTAATTGAAGTGATACACATGACCGTATTAAATTGCCTTAACTCTAGTGAATGCTTGAATATTTTCTTGAAGATAGAGGACATCAATCATGCTCTCTGTTCATCCTTTTATGAGTAATTATTTAAAGACTTTAAGATACAGTGACCTTTAGTTTATCCATGTAGTTCTGGACAGATTCTATTAATTATATGCCATATAAAAGGTAGCTACAGTATTCATTACTATGCTAAGCTGCATTCCTCTACTTATTTTATGAATCCTCATATTTGTATCATCTGATGGAATCAATTTAGAACTTGGTAGTGTTGCGTAGAAATAATACATTAGATTTTAAAGGTTTTGATAAAACTTTGTATCATTATTTTCCTTAGACTTCTTAAATACCAACAGAATATCTGTATCTAGATTTCTTTGTCTCTGATAGAACATCTAATGATTTAGACTAGATACATTCAAGTTGAACATTCAGAAAGGAAACTTAATGGTACTGAATGCATCTATCATATTTCATGCATAAGACTTCTATTGATCCATGGATATGGATATGATGAGTGCAACCATGCAAGCATTTAGCAATTTCTTTGTAATATAACTGATCCGTAGTCTGTGATGGGATAACTCACAAAAGCAAAGAGTATAGTCAAGGTCTTGAAACTGGTACTATTATTCATGTAAACAACAGCAGAGTATCAATATTAAAAAATAATATTTCTTTTTATCACTTTTTTTGTCTTTTATAGTGATACACCACACAACTGTTCAAATTTCATTATTACCAGCTAACGGTAATATTATATTTTCATCAGATTACTAGGACCCAATAGAATGGGTTATACATTGTTAAAGGTCAAGTACATGGTGTCAAGTAGAAAGCTACCAGAATTTTAACTTTGTCTTTTTCCTTTTTTGTTACCTGAAACAAAATTTTCTGAGATATAAGATTTTATTGTCCTGAGGCAAATATAAATTTTTAAATGCAGCATAAAATTACAAAAGTTTTCAGCAATAGTATCATGAAACTGTGAAAGCTTTTATAATAACTTCTCTCACATCTGAAGCTTCATACTTCTTTCTTGCCTTGTGCATTTCCTTTCAGTGCCCTGTGGTGGAATTTTAACAAAGCGTAAAGGGACCATTTTGTCTCCTGGTTACCCTGAGCCTTATGACAACAATCTGAATTGTGTATGGAAGATCACGGTACCAGAGGGAGCTGGAATTCAAGTAAGTATACTTGCTATCTGCTTGCCAGCATCATCATGCTCAAAACTGTTTTTCCTGATAGGAAAGCCTGAAAAGATCATTTATTCATACATTTTTACTATCTAACTAGTGATTGTCACAAGTAATTTGTTGCAAATTATTTTATTCACACAGAATTTAAAAGGTGTAGAATTTGCACAATTCTAAAGAGGTATACTTTTTTACTTACAAGAAAAGCACTGATAATTTAATGTTAATGGTCAAAAAATTATCGTAAATTAGAGAGAACTGAGGGGAGTTTCTGTGTTCATTCTTTTCCCCAGAATGAATAGATTTCCTTTCAACAGAGTGAAGTGCGTTGTTTTCATAGGCAGGCTATACATGCTTTCCAAGAAACTTTTCCTGTTATTTACTATAGTTATAAATGCTTGATATGATATAAAGATATTTCAGTATGTTTCAACATAATGTGTGAATGGGTCCTTTAAATGATGTCAGAATTCTAATTTATTAAAATATAGATTAAGAATTTTATGGAACATAAAAGACAAAACAAAAAAAAAAGCAAACAAAAAATGTGGACAGTTTATTAAAACTGTCTTTTTAATTCTTATATCACAGACACTTTAGGATATTTTACAGTGTCTTTAAGGTATTTTACTGTGTCAAGAAAAGTTTTGAATAGCTGGCTTCTATATAGCCATCTTGAAAAATACACACATTTTACTTTAAATGTGATAAATACGTTAAATTCTTGTTTAAAATATTTAACAAAAACATAAAAATGTCATAGAACTTATTCATAGAAAAAATCCTCACAAATCCACCCTAATAACCCATCTACATGTGGTAGAATTTAAAAGATTAGTTCAATTTTCAAAACCATTGTTTTCCATTAAACAATGGAACAGTATTCTATAAGATAAATAACTTTTGAGATTGATTCTGCGGAACATTACTCAATCTAAACAGTTTACTAAGTTAGGTAATGGCTCCTCTACATTTTCTATACAATCAGTAATGAAAATTAAACAGTAGGAGAATAGATCATCATATCTAAGCTGGGCATTAATTGGTGTCTTGACTTAAGCACACATATTTGCATTATTGAAGTGTTTTCTGTTATTACAGAGTGCATTAGGTGACTAAAGTGATAACTCTGGTTTCAATTTAAACGCCTAATCTGCATGATAATGTTTTTGTCCAGAGTCATAATAAAAATGTATTTACTCTTTTTAATTATTTCTTGTTCCCCACAGCTTTTCCAGCTAAGAGAGCTAGTGCAAAATTTCCATTATTGATCACTTAGTCATTTATACTTGTACAAATGAAATAACAAAGAAGTTTTATGGGCATGACTATGGGTATAATTAAATCTGCAGAATCTTGAATATTGTTGATGAAACAGGACAGTCACGATACATGATCACCTGGTCCTCTGAATCCTGACTGGTGTTCAAGGCTAGCTCAGAGGACGATAAAAGTCCTTGATATAGTGAACTGTGCACACCTGGCATAAGATCAGTAATACATAGTAACTCATCATACCATTTTTACCATTTTGAGAACTGAGATCTTCAAATATTTGTACCTTCCAAAAGAGTAAAGGGGACAGGGACAGCCACCTAGTATTCCTCTGATTTGTAGTGAGTGCTCTCATTACACTACCAAAAATTATGCTCCCTCTTGCACTATATCTGCTTCTTGCTTTCAGTTTCTTTATATGAGGAAGGATGCTGTCTTCTCTGAAAGAGCAGAAGTTAATGTTCTGCCTTCTTCTTGCAGTAGGAGTGGATTTGGTGGATTGAGAACTGGCTGGATGGCAGAGCTCAGAGGGTGGTGATAAATGGGGCAGAGTCTAGTTGGAGGCCTGGGGCCAGCGGTGTCCTACAGGAGTCAGTACTGGGCCCAGGGCTGTTCAACTTGTTCATGACTTTGACAAGGGCACAGAGTGCACCCTCAGCAAATTTGCGGGCTATACCAAACTGGGGGGAGTGGCAGACACTCCAGAGGGCTGTGCTGCCATTGGAGGGTTGGGGAGAGAGGAACCTCATGAGGTTCAACAAGGACAAGGGCAGGGTCCTGCACCTGAGCAGCAATAACCCCAGACAGATCTTGAAGGGAAGGGCTCTGGAGCGGCCGCTTGTGCCGGAACACCTTGTCTAGAGGCGAACAACTGCTGCAAAAGCCGCCAAACGAGAAAGCGCCGACCCCCGTGCGGGCAGTGCTGAGCTCCCAGCCAGAGGCGGCTCTGACTCAGCGGGGGCGGAGCCGGCAGGGCAGGCGGGAATTCAAAAGCTGCCCCCAGGGAGTGCCAGTGATCAGGAGTGTGATGCGGCAGTTAGTGTAGGCAGGCGGTGCAGGCTGGGGGCAGGGAGTCTCCGCCCAGGTGCGGAAAAGAGTTCTCTCCACAGACTCTTCCACGAATGGGAGATCAGGTGAAGCCATGGTCTCTACTCGGCAGAGAGCTTCCACCAGGAAGACTGCGGCGACAGAGACTGAACCACCACAGAAACATGCAGCGGTCCAGGTTTCTAGCTGTGGGGAATGTCTGAGCCTCTCCATGTTACTGGGGAGTAGTGAAAACACCGTCTGCCTTAGGTGTGAGCAGGTGGATAACCTGCTCAGCCTGGTGGGGGAGCTAAAGGAGGAGGTAGAAAGGCTGAGGACCATCAGGGAATGTGAAAGAGAAATAGACTGGTGGAGCTGCATCCTGCAGTTTTGCCAGGAAAGCCACTCTTGCCATAGGGCAAAGGGGGCAGAATTAACATTATCAAGGTACAATCAACAATGGAAACAAGTCCCTACTCGAGGTGGCAGGTGACTCGGAGGCACCAATATGTAGACTGGACCCCTTATCCAGAGAGGTCTGCTGCTTGCTAGGGGCCTGAATAAGGGATGTTACAGAGAGGCTCCCAAGGCTTGTCCAGGAGTCTGACTATCACCCCCAGTACTGCTTCACTAATGATGCCATGAGGGAACTGAGGGATATCAAGCGAGATTTCAGAGCCCTAGGGATGGCCGTCAAAGGTGTGGGAGCCCAGGTAGTGTGTTCCTTTGTCCTACCAACAAGGAGAATGGATTCAAGGAGGAGAAGGCAGATATGGCAGATTAACAACTGGCGGCACCACTGGGTTTGGCAACAGGGTTTTGGCTTCTATGACCATGGGATTTTGTTTGATGGCCATCAGCTAGCGGGGAATGATGGGAAGCATCTCAGCAAGAGGGGCACACGTCTCTGCCAAAAGGCTGGCCAACCTGGTTAGGAGGGCTTTAAACTAGACGAGAAGGGAGAAGGGGAGGGTCATAGGGCGATCAGTACCACGCAGCCAA